TTCTTAGCAGAATAATAAAGCAAGTTTTTGTCTGGAACAGATACAGATATCACATGGATATATCACAGATCATTCAGTGGACAGTATGGCTGAACGATTCTGACAAAAATGTAGTTGCAGTTATTTTAAACCAATATTGCAATTGTGATTTTATTTCAAATTTTCTTTGCACCAACTACAATGATGTAAATTACTCCAGGGTTTAGGTTTTTTCATGACCTTGGAAGCTTGCTTGTCAAAAATCCATTGTTACAGAACTTAACTGTAACCTTTGTGTGGAAAAGAAATGCTAGATTCTGCCTGCATGCATGATTTTGTGTGCTAGTAGCTGCATCCCTCTCTTCCCTTCTGTGTGGCAGCAAACCAACTTTAAGAATGTTGCCACCACCTAAAGAGTTGGAGTGAGATGTGTAATTGCTTACTTTTGTTAAACGTAATATGGACAAAAAATTGAGGGTCTCTGTGATTTGAAAATTGGGATAGTGGACTGTAATGCACATTTAACATTATTATTACAATGACCAGAAAAATTCAAATAACTTATTGCATACGTTTGTCAAAGAATCTGATGGATGAGGAGCTACTTTTGGGTCTCACTTATTTTCCTTCTTCTGGGACTTTAAACTGCACAACAAAACCTTAAACCCCACATTAACCAACCAAATCTGGCAAGTTTTTGCTTTTTTAGAGGAGATCACACCCACTAATAATTAGTTAATCAGTGTGATCGGATAAGATGCACCAGGCCACTGCTTATCCTCTTAAGTCCTCTGGAAGCAGTAAGGCTGGATCTAGTTTTTAACAAACACTTCTGCTGCATTGACACAATGTGTGTTATATGACATAGATTATTGTCCAACTGAGGTTTTATTGATGAAAAGTTGGGATTATATTTCTAGCAATATAGATAATAATATAAGACACAAATAAGATACAAAGAGGGATTTTTTTATATAGAAAGGGATTTTATACATTACATTTTGCATGGAGACTAATAGGTCTGAGATAACCTGATTATCTGTGTGGTTCATCCTGAGTTGCTTTTTTTTCAGTAACTCCTTTGGATGTGGTGAAAACGCGACTGCAAGCACAGAAAAATCCTTTGGTCAAAGGTACATTTTTGAGATTGTCTTATATTTAGTAATAAACTACTTTTACTGTGTATTTTGTGTTTGAATTTGTAAACTTCTACTTTTACAGGCAAATATTTTGTCTACTGCAATGGACTTATGGACCATATATGTGTGTGCGAAAACAGCAAGGGCTGGTACAAAGCTGCCGGTCACTTTAGGGGCACGCTCGTAAGTTTTCACACAAGCCCACTGGTTACAATAAATGCTGTAGAAATGTTTTTAGTTCAGTGTGAGCTCCATGTTCTGGTTTGAACTGGTCTCTGTGCATGATGTGAACAAACAGCCTAATTTTGTCTTAAAATCTTTCACTCTGCTTCTCTGCAGGATGCCTTCTATAAGATAGTGTGCTGTGAGGGAATTACAGCTTTATGGAGCGGTCTGCCTCCGACACTGTGAGTATGATTTCTCTTATGTTTTTTTTTTTTTTACATATTCTGCTCCTGAGTATTTTAACTCCTCAAACGTTTGGAGAAATTTGGAATTTTTGTGACCTTTGAGATTCTTTTCAGGTTTCGGTAAGTATTGGGAAAGTAAACAGGAAGTATTCAGAATATCTTCTAACAGATTCATCCATCCACCTATTCGTTCTTTAACTTCAGTTTCTAGTTTCTGGAAAACATTAGTTTTCTGAACCTTAAATGCTAGTGGCCAGTGTATGCATATTCTCAGTCCTCCATGTCACATCAAACACAAACAGGCTTAATTCAGAGGCTTGGTTTTTTCTGAAGATGTTTCAGCTCTTATCCCGGAGTCTCTGTCCGCTATGTCTGCTTGTACTCTGACAAAACTCGTGGATAGGTGTGAGAACATCTCAGAAAAACTGAAAAAGTCTGGTTGCCTCCGATTTCGTGGTGTAAATGCTGGTTCACCATGATGAAAGCCTGAATGTGGCTGTTTAACTTTCAAATTTTACTAATTGATGTAATATTTGTAAACAAGGCCTTATCTGCTTTATCATTTTCCTCATAATTAGTGTAACATATTTTTCTATAACCCTTTATAGGGCAAGTTACCGTTTTTGATCACTTGCATACCCCTTACAAATGGAGTCCCCCCCCACCCTCCCTCAGTGAGGTCTAGAAGCACAAGATCTATATCCAGCCAGTCAGCAAAGATACTGCTATATGGCTGTACGTCTTATTTTGGCATTTAACCAATTAGATGAGCCCTTAAATGATAAATTACCTACTGGAAATCAAGCTGGAAAAAAAGTAAAAAAAAAAAAGGTAAAATGCTAATTGAAAAGTAAAAAAGGTAATAAGCCTAATTAATAATTATATAGGTTTATAAACCAAAAAAAAAATGTAAGTGCTAGTATCAGCATTAATGCCTCTAAGGTTATGTTGTACAAAAAAAAAAAAAAATGTTTTTCATGAATTTCTTTGTTATTTTTTTCTTAATATATTCGTGCAAGTTGGCGTTTCTTGTTATTACATTGGCATTCATTTTTGCCATCAAAATATTCATACTTTTTGAAAGTTACAAAGGTAATAAGGTCTTCTACTGGATTCCAACAACACTATTGGCTTGGAATTTTGATTTTCAAAGAATTCTCTGAGTGCCCTATAAAGCATTAAAATATGACTTTTTAACTCTGATCTCTAGGGGTTTGACCTTTTCCCATCTCACACGAAGGGAAAAGGTATTGGCAGATCTTAACTTCCCGTATTTTGTTGTGGTTCCAGTGTGATGGCGGTCCCAGCCACAGTGATCTATTTCACGTGTTACGATCAGCTGTGTGCAGCGCTGAGGATGAGGATGGGAGAGCGAGCCCAGGAGGCTCCGCTGTTAGCGGGAGCCATCGCTAGAGGTGAGCTCACCACCGTCCCATCAGACACTCAGCTGCTGTTATTCTGAAAAGTATCTTTTAGAAATACTCGAGGCAAAAAAAAAAAATCTATATTTTCAGCTTAGGTGTGTGAAGGTGTGCTTTTTTTAAGCTTTTTTAATATGATATGTAATTAGTGGGTGGTAGTTAATTTCCTGAATGGTGTCTGAGGGCATGCTTCAGCACAGTTTGGCCTTTAACACCGGCTTGATGAATCAATCTAATCCCACACTGATCTCATTATACATGAGAAGTTTCTCTGCCATGATCCAATGTATCTGATTCTCAGCTTAATAACCGCCTTTAGGTGAGTATTGCAATCAGGGTGAAATAACAATGTAATTCAATCATGATCAACTTTATCTCTTTTTAATTAAAATTTTCCTTGAAACTAACTTCTTTTCTGATATCACCGTTATTCTGGTTCCTTCTTTGTGATGTTAACGGCCCCAGAGAAAAGAAGACAATATAGTAACCTTTAATTTCCCTCTGTCTCAGTGGGGTCGGCGACTGTAATCAGCCCTCTGGAGCTGATCCGCACCAAGCTGCAGTCCCAGAAGCAGTCGTACAGGGAGCTGACCAATTGCATCCGCTCTGCAGTGCAGACAGAAGGCTGGCTCTCTCTGTGGAGGGGTCTTGGGCCCACCCTGCTCCGAGACGTGCCCTTCTCAGCCATGTACTGGTACAACTACGAGAGGGGCAAAGGCTGGCTGTGCCAGAGGTACAACACCAGAGAGCCCACGTTCACCATCACTTTCGTATCCGGAGCTGGGTCAGGTTCTGTAAGTACCGCTGATCCAACATCTAGTGGCACGTTGGAATTGATGGAAAAATGTTTAAATTAAATCAGCTGATTCTCGTTGTTGTTCTTAGATCGCAGCTATTGTCACTTTACCATTTGATGTGGTCAAAACAAGACGGCAGGTGGAGCTTGGGGAGCTACACGCCAATAATTGTAACTATACCCTTATTTATTGATTAATAGCTGTGTAAAGTGTAATGTGTTTCCTAACATGGTAAACATTTTTAGTTTAGCAACTTTTACGGATAAGTTTAAAGATAAGGGACAGTTTGGGTGCTCTATATACACCTCTAGGGTTGCATGAGTAGCACATGACAGGCATGCTTAAACAGCCAGGTGCCAGATCATTAACATGTGACAGTGATTAGGGTCACAAGTCAAAACCTTAATGGGCTGGGATGAAACCACCTTTGTGTGGCTCTCTCACTGATTGATAGCTCTAAAAAACTGACTCCATTAATCCTTTAAACCAGTTCTTTTCCCACTTGTTTTGTTTTTTTATTCTAATGAAAATGAAAAAGTACTCATTCTACGTTGAGCCCTGCAATATTTATATTAAATATATTTATTTAGGAGTTTTGCTGCTCTACCATCCAGAAAATCAGAATAAACTAAAGTACTTTACTTAAAAAATAAATAAATAAAACATTTGAGCAAGATGGAGCATAGAGGAATCTGTTTTTTCAGGTGAAGGAATTACACCAAGATGATCCTGGGATAGGTTAAGGTACAATCTGCATCAAAGAAGCACTGCTTAAAGCACCTTTAATATTCCCTAATAACACGATATTGATACCTACACTAAGTGATAGCAAACCTTTAACTCGAAGCTTAAAACCATTTATCCAATGATTGCTTCCTGCTTTTTTTCAGTGTCAGGTCAGGTCTCCTCATCCACTTTCAGCATCATGAAGAGGATCGTGACACAAGATGGTTTTCGTGGGCTTTTTGCAGGTGTGTACGTCTCTGATGAATCCATCTTCATTCTGGCTGTCTGCATACGCAACATGATATCAAAACCTGTATTTAATGAGTGTTTTCTGCTCGTCAGGTTTCCTACCAAGGGTGATCAAAGTGGCTCCAGCCTGTGCGATCATGATCAGCTCATATGAGTTTGGAAAAGCCTTTTTCCGTAAACACAACCAGGAGAGGATACTTGGGCAACTGCAGTCCACAAACACGTGATTGTGTTCCCCGTGAAACAACCATCACCACAGTCACAGCTAGCTTAAACATAGAGAAAATTATCTAACAATCATAAACTCAGAAATAAGACAAGTGAATTATCCAAGCCTCTCTAGAGTCAGATAAATGTATACGGTAAATACCTTAAAGTGTTTATATTTTATTTTGTGATCAAATGAATTATTTTGTTCATGTTAAAAAAAGAAGTCTAGATTACACGTTGCCAGCAGATGGCAGCCACAGATTGGTTTTTACTGAGTCTCCAAACATGTGGCCTTCCTCTGGAATCGCACTTTGCTGATGATCGTTTTTAACCTGCTGCTTGTCACCCAGAAGCCATGTTGATCGTGTGAAGCAGAGGGATGACTGGAAACAGTTCGCCAAAAGACCTTTATGAAAGTGTTCTGGTTTTAGAAAAGTTTCCCCACCCCTTCATCACTTCACATGGACATCAACACACATCTGAAATTGTCAAGTTTGAAAGCAAGTGGAATTTATTTAAAATAAAAAATGCAAATGAATCCAACAAAAATATCAGTTTGATGTCTGTGCAAATGTCTGCTGGAATAGGCCTAAGGCAAATACTGTAAGTGCTGAAGTGAACAGCTAGTGACAATGAATTCAAATGACTTCATACTGATGTCCTGATGCAGGTGTTTTGAGTTTTGCATGTGCTCCATTGCAGACATCTAAAAACAGATTATATATAATTAACCAATAGTTAACCATAAAACTGAAATACCGCATCTTGGTATTTAATGAGAATACATAGGTGCGGGGTGGTTACCTGAGAACAGAATTGAGAGACGATATCAAACAACACTGATTTTAAAAAAAAGAAACACAGACAAACATCTTAATTAAACACCCAGTAGTTTAACCAGAGCAGTGCTCCATTCAGGCTGCAGGAAAGTAGCAACAGATCTGATGTGTTCTGATGAGTAATTTGCCGTAATCTCTAAAAATCATCTTTGCAACATTGAAACAGGAGATGGGAATTGATACTGCATCTTTAAAATCGATTCACTTTGTTTCCAAAGCTGGGGAGAAATAAAGCTACACAGAAAAGCAGCAACATAATTTGAACACTTGACAAAGCTGGGACAATGTTCAGTCTCTTAGTGCCATCAGGTCATCTTCAGCTCACGCTCCACATTTAGAAACAGAAGAAATAATATCAGCATCACTGGCATGAGCAAAGTTCCTGAATTGCTTGATCTGATGAGCCGTCATAAATCCTATGATGGAGTAACACCCGGGCTGCTAAACTCTGTCGCAGCGCTGGCCAAACACTCATTGGACTTCAAGCTGGCCAGAGATTTATAGCTGGCTACGGAGGTCAGTGAGCCACACAGACCTCTGAGAGACGGCGTTTCCTCTTTACCTGAAAGAAAAAGCACGCATATCTAATGTCCAAGTGATGGGTTAAAGGTCTTTGCTTTTATAAGAGGAGACATGCCTTGTGTGTTTGATGTGAGGCTCATCCCTGCAGACAGCTGCTCCAGACTCTGGAAACTCTTTCTGGAAGAAAATGAATGACAAAATGAAATGTTTTATGTCAAACAGAATTAACTAAGTTATCTTAATTGCTAAATGCAGGTATACCAATAGGTGTTTTGGAGATTTTTTTAAATAATCCAAGTGAAAAATGTAATGATTATGACTATGATTTTGAATGACCTGTTAAAGCTCCTAATGATGGTGGTCAGAGGGCCCGGTAGCACCAGTGTACGGCAGACTCGCTTCTGTCAGTGAGCCCCAGGGCAGCTGTGGCTACAATGTAACTTGCCACCATCAGTGTGAGAGTGTGTGCACGAATGATTGAATATAATGTAAAATCCTCTGATTTGAAAAAGTGCTATATAAGTACAGGCCATTTACTATTTAAGCGTCCAAAAGTTGAAATTATAACATTTGAGTTAAATGCGGACACTTTAAATGTTACATCAATGTGACATAATGAGGAAATCATAAGAAATCAGCCAAGGGAGAGAATTGTGTATCAAACAAGCTGTGGTGTAATATTTATATAACTTAAAGACTTAAAAATGTCCAGTTTTTTAGTCAACTGTATACAAGTATCATCATGGTAATTTAGTGTTCCAGAAAATGAGGGATTTGATGCCAAATGTGTGAATCCAACAGATGCCACCTAGAGACAAAAACATATAAGTGTCAGTCTTTGTTATATGATTAGGTTTCAAAATGAAAACTTTGCAATCCTTAGAATACCATCAGGCCAATTCAACCAATCAGAGAAGGGGATCTGGATGTGCTGGCAGGGAGACAGACACAGAGCTGCTGATGCAGAGCGCTATGATCATCTCCTCCTAAAATGTTTATTAACACTTAAATTAACTTAATATTTCAAAACCTGCCGGCAAAATATGCTCGATTTTATTATCCTAGTGCCTGCAGTTTGTACCACACACCTGGAGATACATATATCTCCAGTCACAGGAGAAAAGCCCCAAGAAGCGTCCTGGCCTGAGGCAGCTGCTGCTGCGGATTCCCAGTGACAGCACACCACCGGTATGTGGGGGTCTGGGCGGCTCCAACAGCAAAAAAATAAAAGGCATGATTTTTGAGGAGTACTTTCTCACTTGAAAACATGTTAAAACTTCTTTTTACCAACTTTTCACAGCTGCTCTCTACCGCTGAACACAGGAGCAGCAGAAGCATTAGATGCATCTGGACGCATTCTACTGGATGCGCTTCAGGAAAATCAAGCTGCTCTGACCTTAATGTGGACAAGCATCACTAAAGAAGTAATAGACTCTTCTTTGCTGCTGGAATTATGTGCAGCGTGATTGTAGCATAATTACACACTGTCCAGTTCAACTTCATTACAATACAGTGGGATTCAATAAATTAGGAAATGCTATTTGTTAAAAAGGACATAGATCTAAAATTGTGATGCAATTTGGATCACATCTTTGTGTAGGAACCCTTTATCATAAGCCTGCAATGGAAAAAAAACACAAAGAGACTTTCAAACATGCAATTCTTTCTCAATAATTGTGCATAAAGACAGAAAACCTTCCACTTTAAACATATATTGACGGTGGATTAAGTGTCCTTTTATTGTTTTGTGGCCACCTTAACGTTGATGCTTTCAGTGTTTAAGTTTTGAGATAAGGGGTTTTTGTTCCTTTTGTTAAGTGTTTTAGTATTATTTCAACTGAATTTTATTTTGAAAGGAAAATATGGGAATTATTGACATTCTGAGCATGTTTAGTGCAGGAATGGGAGAAACTGATGATTTAAAAAATTTTACTTACTCCTCCCATTGCCCGGTGCTTTTCCTGTACAGCAGCGTATCCAAGGCAACAGCATTAGCATCCAAGGCATCTGGAGACGGCCACTGATTGGTCAGATGGGCTGTTAATTCCTGCCTGGAACGCAAATCGTTGTTTTTCAGCACAGTCCTGAAAATTTGAAAAAATAAAATAAATAAATCTGAATTATTTTTATCCCCTTCGAAAATCTTTTGATAACATCCCAAAAAGCCCAGGTTGCAAGTCCCAACAACATTTCAAAATATTTCAGGAAGGAATACACACATAGATGTTCAGCTTGTATAGCTCAGCTTTGAATCCATCATGTTAAGGAGATTAAATATTAAAACAAAAAGTTCAGTTAAGATTCAGGTATTTTGGTGCTACAAGTGTTTTAAGGATCAACATGTATTTCAACTATAGAGGAAATTTAAAACTAATTTATCCAAAGTGCTGAACAGTGGTGAAAAAGATCAAACAAAGACAAACAGAACTTGATAAAAGCAATAAAAACATTAAGTGCATTTCTAGACAATGGCCGAATGAGTTCAGGGTTTTAGAGAATGGAAGAGTGAAAGAAATGTGTGAATGAAAATAATCTAATTTAACACAAAAACATTCAGTTCCTTGTATAACCTTTTTGGTTTCACAAGCAAACATATTAGTGTGATATTTTATGTGATAGGCCAACTAAACATAGAGCGATGCAAAGAAGAGGAATGACAACATAATTTCTCTTTTTATTTAAACAAAAAATTGTCAAGTGTGGCATATGTTTTTATTTGAGCCACTTCACCCTAATATTCCTTAATAAAATCCAGGCCCATTGGACTGTCACCTAAACATGGTTGCAGTCCACTTGTGTGTGTGATTGAAGTTTAAATACATCTAGCTGTTCTGTTTCTGTCTCCCAAGCAGCTTTGCTAAAGAAAATACATAAGACAACAGCATAATGAAGAGGGAGAAACACAGCAAATATATTAGAGATGCTTCTGAGATCTCTAAAGCACAGCTAGGTCATGAAATAACATGCAAAGCTTCCATCACTTTGCAAAAAACTGTTAAACTGTAAAAGCAAGCAAGATAATCCTTTTACCAGACAAAAATAGATTGTGAACTTCAGACATCTGAAGTCAAGTAGTGACAAGAAAAGAGTTTGGAAAGGAAAGTGATAGGAAGACAGGTATGCCACAAGTAATATGGGGGACACGGAATAAGACAAAAAACTTCACACATCATCCACAGCGAAACACGGTGGTGTCAGCATCATGCAGTGGGCATGATTTTTATCCTCGGGAGCTGGAGGGCGAGTCATAGTTGATGGGAAGATGAAAGGAGTTAATACAGATAAACTCTGGAAGAAACACCAAACTCCAGTTGTCCTGCATCTTTTAGGGATCACTCTGCTTCCTGTTTCTCTGACTGTGATTGACTGTAAGTGCTCTCTTCATCCTCTGACATGGGAGCTGGTTCGGAGCTCATCTGCCTGGCTGTGCATTTCCTAGATGAGGCCACCTGTGGAGCTGGTTCACAGTTGCCTTTTGTATCTCTGCTTCTTTCTGTATGTCTGCTTCTGTCTCCTTGAACCCCAGTCAGCCTCAGCAGATGGCCGCTCACACTGAGCCTGGTTCTGCTGGAGGTTTTTTCATGTTAAAAGGGAATTTTTCCTCTCCACTGTCGCTACAAGCATGCTTGGTGTGAGGGATTGTCTTTGAGTAAATGAGTCGATATAACCAGTTAGTTTTCCTTAGATAGAAAACTTTGAATCAATTTGACTCTATGATCTGGTTGAATTGTCTCTTTAAAGTACCTGGAGATGACATGTTCTGTGAATTGGCGCTATATAAATAAACTGGATTGAAACTGAATTGAATTATACGTATTTTTTTGTTTGCACCTTTGCTTGTGGTGTGGTCTCTCTTTATTTGTTATGGCACTAAGCCAGTCATAATAAACTGCAGGCGAGTCCACAGACCCACAAGGTTCAGAACATAAATGTCAAGTTTGCACTGAGATTTGCTGAAAAGCTCCCCACTGATTCGCCTTCACGCATGCACATGCTTCAAGACACACACGCAAAAACCCTCTGAAGGAGACGCACAGCTGGTTCTGCAGTTCCACTATGATATACTCAAGCTGCTGTTTCTCCAGTGTGTGGGAGAGATGTGTGTCTGCTAGGCTCTGATGAAGGGCTTTGTTGTGAGAAACGGCCTCTGACAGCTGGGCTTCCCGTAGACGAACCAACTCTTCCAGGTAACCCTGAGGTGGGCAAACAAACACAGGCACACAGACATGCCTGTTGGTTTAATCCCAAAGAACACACTGCTGAATTTATGCATATTTGAGACGTTTGTTTCCACAACAGACAAAAAGCACATAAAAGTCACATTTTTGATGCTGTAGGAGCTGGTTTCAAATCTTTGATCTTTACAGAATGTTGGCTCTGCATTTTTAAAAAAACATCCAGCTCATCAATATGCATGCTCCTAACAAAATGTCACACCGGCAGGCTAAGGTCATCCAGCCTCTTCAGCACAGAACAACACACCTTCTGCTCCAGAGCCATGCGATACTTCTGCTCAAAGCGTTTGCACTTGCTAAACAAAGTGCTCTGCTCTGTGAAGATTGATGCAGCGGTGGCCGTCTTGTCAGGAGTGCTGCTCTCACTGCCGCTACTTCCCAGAGTCCTCATCTCCTCCTCATCGCTGCTGATGCTGTCTGCACTAAGCAGGGAAGCAAACCCA